GGCGGCGGCCGGCTTAAGGGCCGGCAAGCAATAGCGCTTGCCGACGCTGCATGGCTCCCCATGTGCTTGGGGCCCAACCTCCGGGAGCCACCAGGCAGGAAGCTGGCCAGCCGGAAGACTGGCACTCCCCACCCGTGGCTCCCTGTGTGCTGGAAGCCCTCCTTCCGGGGAAGGAGGAGGCCGGGAGTGAGTCACCGGTCCAAAGACCGGCGCTCCCCACCCGAGGCTCCCCGTGCGCTGGGGGCCCACCCTCTGTGAGCCACCAGGCAGGAAGCTAGCCAGCCAGAAGACTGGCGCTCCCCACCCCACCACTGATTTTTTAGCGTTGAATTTGTACCTAGCTATGCTACCAAATTTGGGATTGCGTTACATCTGTATAATAGTTATCCAAGGTATCTCCCAGGTATAGCTGGTTTTGGGGTTTTGAGTTTGTTGATGTGCTTTCCTTTTTGGGAGATTTGTTTCTTTTCTCTAACAGCTTTTTAATATTCTATTCTTGTGTTAATTTCTGAGATTTTGACTATGATATGCCTTGCTGTAGATTTTTTTTGATCATGCCTCAATGGAGTTCTATAGGTCTCACTTACATATATGTCCAATTCTTTTCCCTGCCAGGGAAGTTTTCTGTCATGACATCTGTGAGCAGGTTTTTTATATAATTTGTGGTATCTCCTGCTTTTTAATTGACTCCAATAAATCTTATGTTATTCTTCTTTGAATTATCTAGTAGTTGCTAGATTGGTTTCCCATGGTCCCTTGCTATTTTTAAGAAATCTTGCCAGGTGTGATGGCACATGCCTGTAATCCCAGCACTCAGGAGGCTGAGGCAGGGAGATCACTGTGAGTTAAAGACCAGCCTGGGCTACAAAGTGAGCTCAAGACCAGCCTGAAGTGTATAGTGAAACCCTGTCTCAAAAAGACTAAAAAAAAAAGAAAAAAAAGAAATCTTTCATTTGATGATCACTGACTACAAGCCTCTCTTCTATATCTGAGGTTCTGGCCTCACATTGGCACATTCTGCTGTGAATACTTTCCAAGGAATTTTTAGTCTCCTGGATATCTACTTGAGTATATTTTATGGATTCCATTTATTTCTTGTGTTAGGCATTCGTGGTTTCCATCACCTTCCTTAGCTCCTCTTTCTTTGTCTGTATCTGCTCTAGAGTCACTAAGCATGGTTTTCATTGTGGTCACCACCATTTATCAGTAGTTACCTGATAAATTAGTTCTGATTTGATTTTTTTTTAGAGCCTCATTCATTTGTTTTGTTGTTACCACTTCAGAGAGGCCAGGCAGATGGTTTTGGGATTGTACCATCTCATTGGCCCATAGGTTTGCCTTTGGTGAACTACATGTCTGGGATTGCATCTTGTTTATGTCTTTTCATTTTCTATTTTTTTTTAGTTTAATTCCTACACTGATTCTTATAAATTGCCTGTGATGGGCTGCTTTATTGCTAGTATTAAGAACCCTTAGGAAATGACTAATTCCAAGGTATCTCCCAGGTATAGCTGGTTTTGGGGTTTTGAGTCTGTTGCAAGATCCAACCTCTTCAATTTATTGGGGATGAGAAGTTACTGCCTATTTGCCCCAGCCCCTGGTTCCTTGGCACTGGCCCACAGTACTTTCTATGACCTCGAGGCAATCTCAGTCTTGGTATACCAGCAAGAACAGCTAGTAAGAACCATTATGTCACTTTGGTTAAAGTGGTACAATCAGAAATAACAATAGCAGCAAACACATCCTAGAAAATGACAAACTGAGGTAACCATTAATTTGCCACCTTTAACTGTATGAGCTACATTTGTGGTTACATAACAAAATCTAAAACAAACCAGAAAATTGTATGCAGTAAGTAAGCCCTTAAAATTGCAATTTTACCCCCAGGAGAGAAAATTTAAAAGGAGTTAGGGGAAAAAATAGAGAAATACAAGGAGAGGAAGAGATTAGAAGCAAGTCTTGAGGACAAAAGAGGATCATACAA